CAGTACTTCTTTTGATGAATTAATCACTGCAACTAGGATATTTCAGGAATATTGTATGGATTAAGTTCTATGAACACCTGTCACTTTGGTTTTGATACAAGAGTTACGGTTTACTAGATAGAACTTTCTATTCAATACATTCGGCTTTTTTTCTTGGATTGTCTGGAGGAAAGGTGGGGTTGGAGACAGGGTAATATGCAGTTCACTTGTAAGATTTACTCGAAATGGCAATGATAACCATTTAATAATCTGTGCTTGTGAACAGCCTTGGGAAGTTGGCCAGAGTCAAAATAATTCCAATTTCCTTCAATCTCAAGGGAGTGGCGATGGCTTGAATTATGGTTACCAAGACAATCTGACGAATGGAGACAGTTCAGCACCTTGGTGGCAACGCAAGAATGCCAGGATAACTGAAATTGAAACTGAAGGTGAACAGAACTTTGGATCTCCAGCTGCACCAGTTCAGGAACGACCAATTCAGAGATCATGGGTTCCTCCCCAGCCTCCTCCAGTTGCAATGGCAGAAGCAGCTGCAGCCATCCGCCAACCTAAAAAGTCTGCATCTCAGAACGAACAATTGACTGATGATCAGTTGTTAGCTCGTTCATCAGATGAGTTGCAGAGGGTTACAAGAATCTCTGAATCTGGTGGTACCCCTGAAGCTAATGGTTCGAGTTCTGGCCTACAGATGAGTGAGACTACACCAATTGCAGAAGGTGATCAAACTTTAAGCAGCTGAAAGATCATTTAATTTCCTTGATATAAAAGGCTGGGCATTCAGTATCGAGGTTCACCACGATCTTACAGCTACATGTTCTTGATGAATCGAGCCTCATTTCGTGTTTACCCCTATGTGAAGTCTACAGTTACATTTATCAACTTTGTGGTATATGGGAAAAAGATCATCTAAATGTAGCAAAGCCATTATGTTTCTTGTTGGTGGTCTATTCATTATACACTCTAAAATGGCTGCAGAACTTAAGAATTGTGTTTATATAATTCTACAGTTTGAATAAAGGTTAGATTATGATAATAACATAATTTGTGTTAAGCAATTTGGCGGATGGAAAAAGTGTTCCAATAAACCAAGGTGTGGCCTAGTGGTCAATGGTCAATGTAGTCGGTTGAGAACGTTCATTAGGTCTCAAGTTTAAATCCAACAAAAACATTCCATGATTTCTATCTATTTGTCTTAGCTTTAGTGGACAGAGTTATTTATATTGTACACAAGCTGACTCGACCACCATTGTCATAAAAAGAAGAAGTGCTCCAATAACATCAGTCATGGGGCCCTATGTTTTGGTGAAAGGCACATATCAATTGCTCAAAAGTAGATCAAACTTCAAAGTTATCTACAGGCAGCTCTCATAAGAATCTTATCCCTCTCATTATATTTTGTAGCTGGGAAGTTCACATGTTATATCAGTAAATAGAGCTTCTTCTTTTTAACTTTCTTTTTCTTTATTGATTCTAACTTATAACTAAGATAAGAATAATATATAATGATCTGTTCTCTCTTGGTATTATTACTAATTTAGATATGCAATCAAAGGCACAAAAAGCAAATAACAATATAAATAAAAGAATAAGAAATGTGTACACATCAACTTGATTTTTCCATTTTCATCTAGAATGTATACATGAGGTCATTGAAGTGGTTGTTAAAGTTATTCTATATATGTTAGAATCTGAAACTTCATGATACTGACTAATTCTTAGAGACACGATGATAAGGCCGAAAGTGGCTGGTAGGCATTATTTTTATTATCAAAATTATCTAGTGCAAGTATTTATTTTATTATTGAATTAATAAAGTCACCATAATTCTAAACAAAAAAACAATAAATCTAACCAAATAAGCCATTTTTTTCCACCTGAAAACTAACTAGAATGGACCCCATAACCTAAATAAAAGTTGTGATACAATTATCCACCCATTAGTTAAGTAACTTTATTAGTTAATTAAATTAAATAACTTTACATAGACAATTAAATGAGCATTTGAAAAATATAGAGCTATTTTGAGAAATTTGGTTAGGTTTCCAAGAAGTTGCTATTAGGATTTTAGCTTTTGCGTGATGAGTTGTGACTACTAGAAAAATGTGATAATGGCCCCTAACAAAGTTGTTTCACATGTCCTCCCTGTCAGATTCCTTGTATTTTTTCTTTATATATTTATCGAGTATGTGATTTTAGATAAGAGATTTAAAGATAGTAGATAGTTAAGCGTTGTCACACGTATCTTTATATATTAGTACTTGTAGTATTATTATAATACTTTATCCTTCAATTTATGTTATTATCTATGTTTTTTATCCTTAGAATATCATATTATTTTTTCAATTAATTAAATCATAATAGTACTAGGTAAATAGGACATCATGGTTAGAGTGTCGTGTTTTAGTCATGTTGAAATATATATTTAACTACCAAAAGTATTTTTGTTTTGTAATAGTGACAAAAAGGAACCAGCTATGTAAGCAGCGACAGTATTATGCAGACTATTTATTAACTTAATTCATTTTTGACTTATTCAAATTTAGTCTAACTTATTTATGTGACGCCTCTAAAATTATAATTGATTAAATCCAAATATTTAACAACCTATTATATTGATTACAAAGAAACAGATACAAATATATATATATATGTATGAAGTGATTATTTTGGATCTATTAGTTCAAAAATTATGATAAAGAGTAGACACTAGACATGCACTTTACACTTTTTTTACCAAAATATAGTGGAAGCTTTTAGCTATATGATTAGGACACTGATTAGTGAATATAAAGTTTTTGGCACTATATATGCTTTTTATTTGCCCCCCAAAAATATCAAAACTACCTGCTACAGTACACTACTGGTTCGTACTAAAGTAGATACAGTTCCTTATATTTTATTTTTTTAACAATCGTAGTGTTCGAATTAGTTTTTGCGTGTGCATTGATTCCATCAAATTAATTAAGACAGTTGGAAAGAAACATTTAGTCACCACCAGCAAAGTAGATACAATTCTTATAGTTATTAGGCATTAAGATAGAATTTTAATTATGAGTTCGATTGAATTTAATAATTTTGATAAAATATTTCTTTTAGTAGAATAGTTACTCCACGTTCCTATATATATAGATTTTCCTGAAATTCAAGCCTATAGAAATTTACCCCTAACGCAAGTTGTAGTCAATAACCTAATTAATTAATTCGATAGATTACCCTTTCGAAAAATTAATATACTATATACTATATCCTACTTCAACAGTATTTCTTTTTCTTTTTGTTTCTAGAACTTCTCCTAAAGTCTTAATATTATATATACTATTATTATTAGATGAAAAGGATATAAAGAGCTAATTAACCCTGAGAAGAAATTAAATCTTGATAGACTTTTGCAGTACGTCTAGAAACCTACTAATGGTAAACTTTTATGATGCTAATTAGAGAAATTAAATACATCAAGATAAATCTTCCTCTTACTTGCAAGAAATCTTATATAAATATAGGTTGTGCTAAAATACTTAAATAAGTAATTATTTCTTTAAAAATATGCAAGTTTAAATAGAACAAATTAAAAATAAACAGAGACAATGATCAAGTGTTGATTAGATCTTGAAATCAACGAGTAAATTAGAAATGGCAAAATTAGTCCATGAAAATATGATTCATCCAATCCGTTCAAGTTTGAGCGGATTATGACCCACTTATTTATTGATTCAGTCCATTTTAACCCGCTCAATTCTCAGTTCATGCATCTAGAACGACTACACTAAAATATAATTCAAATTGATGCATGAAGAATATTTTTAAAAGATATCATTTTTATTTATTATGTTATAGATAGTCATAATAAAAGAAAAGATTATTAGGTAATTAAAAAGAACCAAACTAGTAAGATTTGGCTCAGCCCCAAGTATAATAATTCAGTCTATTCATTATCTCTTGACTAATCAACAATTGTGGAGAATCACTTTATTATTGATTTCCTATTTTGTACACAAGAATAATTAATTAATGTACTAATAAAACTTGTATAAGAAGAAATTGTCTGATTCTTGATAATATTAGAAAAATCTATACCCTCTAGAACGACAAGGAAAAAAAACAATCAAAAAGTTTATTATTATGAACAAGTCTTCAAGAAATAAATAATTGAGAATTTAGGTAGAATTTATCCACTTGAAATATGTATTATAAGAATGGATAAGTCTTCATATAATTAGTAATTAGTTTGTGGTTAAACATGTCTGTATATGTCTTGTTTTCTCTAAATAAATTATTATGACAAAATGATCAAACTATAATCATAAGCTATGATGGGAAGTCTTCGGTTTGGGTATAATTAAATGGAGCTCTTGATATAAAGTATTTAATCTGATGGTCTAATCGACGTAAATTTAAATTAATTGATTATTTATAAGTATATGATAGAAGCAAATCAAGGATTTTAAATTAATGAATTCTGGATTATAATTCTTTAATTTAGTAAGTTTATGAATAAATTATTTATAAATATTAAGTAAATTTTATATTATTATATTATAAATATAAAATTTAAGCCAAAATTAATTAATTACATTGAGTCATGTTTCACGTATAAATCCGCCTCTAATAGCGGATATGGAATGCAAATTTGGAATAGAAAAGGAAAGGAAAGTTTCCTGACCAAATGTTTTATTGGTTGGTGAACTTGCGGATAATGACTAATAATTTAAAATTATCCCTTTTAACACTATGGTTAGAAGGGTTGTCACTTATTGTTTCATAATGTATCATATTATATTATGTTAGATTGTATTGTACTAAATTCTGCAAATGAATATAGCGTTTGGATAGATTGTATCGTTCTCCATCATTACATAATTGTCACATATTCATAATTTGAATGATAAACCTACAAGAAAGGTAAGATACGAGGTAGAGCTACTATGAAATTATGGGGTAGAGGATAAAATAATAATAAGTAAAGACAAAATGAGGGGGTGGAGGGGATCTGTATATGTTGTTCAGGTCAATGCAAATAAACGTATTCCTGAGCTTAATGCTTGAAAACAATAAGGGATTAGCTCAAGGAGTACTAAAAAAGGTGCTAATGGCAGCGGGACTCCCGCGGGTAATAAGAAGCTTAAAAAATGAAGCCCCTTTTTTTGAAATCCCACTATAGTAATGCCAATAAAAATTGAAAATGAGAGACCCAAAGTAATGAGAAAATGACTTATAACTGTGAAGCTATAAGGTATCATACCCGGGGGATTACAAAATAACGAAAAAGTAAAAGTGACCGAGATGCGAGGGGAAAACTTTTGTTTAACATTTCTAGAAAGACCACCTATTTGTTCGTTTACCGGGTTCAGCACGAAATCATAAATAAGCTCTACCAAGGATTGCCAAGCTTTGGTACTGAGTTTCCTCCTCCCTTTTTAGTAACAAAATAAATCAAAAGTAGGACCAAACTGAGAGTTAGTAGCATAAACAAAGATGGATTTGTGAATGAGAAATATAAGTTTCCTATTTTCATAGGAATCAATGGAATTATTTCAAATTGTTCAAGTGGGCTGGAGACGAGATCTTTCACTAGATCCACTGCATCTTTGTAGGCTTCACCCGCTACTCCGTTTTGATTCAAATCTTTCAATAGGGAGTCAAGAAAGTGAATATCGTTGCTTTCGCCATGTAGAACTTCGGCCGCTTCCAGAACTTCTTGGGCACTCTTGTTAGGCATCAACTCTCAAAAAGAATATTAAGGTAAAAACACGGTCACACCAAACTGGTTATTACATAAAATGAGTCTTTTTGTCGTTACCTAATAATGAATTTAAACGATACTATACAATAAAATTTAAGTAACAATCAAAACAAACATCGTATTTAAACTAACAATACTATAGAGTACAATGGGTAACAGCCATCCAAACAAGGTGTAAGTAAATAAAAAAAAATACTACTCATATATTTAATATTCCAATCGAGTACCTTTTTAACAGGTTAATTTGATGTCCTTATGTAATTAGTAACGAAATGAAAATTTTCAAGAGAATTTAAGATATAAATAAGTAAACATATGAAGATATCAAAGAAAGTTCAGTAACTATTATATGGTATATAATAAAAAATTAGTCATATTTAAATGTGATATAATTTTCTATTGAAGGAGATTAAAATGAACTCTTTAACTCTACCTAGCTCCGCCGTCTATGTAACCCTTTTCAACATTCAGCTAACAATTGATAGTGCATAATTCGTACATGCCAAACTTAACATCGCCAAATTAAAAATAACCCAAATTTGATGCTATTACGCTCTGACGCTGCTTTTAGTTTAGATATTTGTGTTAAGTCCCACTACAATTCTTTTACTTTTTTCAGTATAGAATACGAAGAAGATAATTTTTCTTGTAACTGAAATTTATACGCTTTTTTATAAGCTGATTTTTAAGAATAAAATGATGATCAAAGTAAAAAATATATATTTCTTTTATACAATATGGCCAAGACTTTGGTGACTTTGCTTTTTGTAGTCTCATTTTTTATTATTTCACAAAATATGGTGCCTGAACGAATGTGTGATTGTCAGACTAGTCAAGAATGTCATGACTTGGAATGTCAAGGGGCGCTCGAAACTTGTGTTGATGGATTTTGCGTATGTTTAGTACATTCCAATCATGAAGAAGGAAGAATGGAAGCATGCACAAATACATGTCTGAGTAGAGAAGATTGTACTGAATTTTTGAAATGTGAAAGTGGTTTACCAACTTGTGTTGATGGAAGCTGTGTATGTTTATGAATGACTAATTACATTTTTAATTTCATTTAATAAATTAAATGCAATTTTAAATTGTATTACTCTGGTTGCATCATGATATGAAAAAGAAAAAGATGCTAAATATATAGATAACCTCTTAAATTAATTCAGATATTTCATTCATAATCCATTAGATATTATGTACACATGCTTAATCACTGATTAACTATTTAATTATCTGAAGATTCCGTTCACTGTAATTAGCCTCAGAAATGCTGTAAATTCCGATTTAACCCATTCACATTACCCAAAAAGCTTACCAAATCTTGCCTGTACGGTAAGTATGACTTCCGTTTATCTTTTCCGTTTATCGCGCAACGCAACGCCGGAAAATCTTCAACGGCGGGAACTTTTCCGGTGATTTTACCAGAGTCAGTCCTTGTAATCTCTGTTTTCTCTTCTCGTTTTTTGAACGGAGTTGTCAAAAACACGAAAATTTCCTTACCGTCACTGTTACTCCGGTGAATGAAGTCACGTAACTTCCACCGCTTAGAAGAGGAGCCAGTGGAGTTGCTCTTCTTACGCAATTCACATGGAGGCTCTTCCGCCGATTTCGGCCTCCACACGCAGTATGTTCCCGGAGCAATTCCTTCTAAATCGTCGACTTCCGACGAGGAAGACGACGACGCAATTTCACGATCTTTGGTAAAAAGCTTCCTTAACGAAACTCGATTTGACTTCGTCGGAGTCGAAACTTTCTCCGAATTACTATAACCGGTATCGTTTAACGATAAATCTCTGTTGAAAATTGGACGGATCTGACCGTTGTAGAAGATTTCATCAGCAGAAATAGGCGAAAATTGATCAGATCCTGCCGTAACAAAAGCAAATTCAGAATCATCTTCATCATCATGTTTATGTACTTGATTTTCATCGTTCTCATTGTAGTCATCATCATTAAAGGAAAATTCGGAGTCAATTTCATTTTCAGCTGTGAATTCTTCTACAACTCTAGCAGCAATTTCTGTGAGATTAGTACGAGCAAAACTCGGAGACTGAGATAGTTCTGAACTCGCTTGCATATTTCTGATAATGATGAAACACTTTTTCCCTCTGTTTTTCTTCAAATAGATAACGAGAATAAAGTGCGAAATCTCAGATCTATTTATATATATAGGCTATACTATAGAGAGGGCGACGAGTGATTGTTGTAATATGGACCGACAATAATCTTAATAGTTCAGTTGATTGATTATCTAAATTTTCATATTATTAATCAAGTTCAATGCGGATTCTCCACACTCTGATTTTAATATTAAAAAGATGGAGATATGTATAGTTTTTTTCTTACATAATGCATGCACCGAATTTCGTTAATATGACGATGATTAAATGATAAATATTGTGTGTTTAAATGATACATATAAAAATAAATACGCATCCATTGTTTAGTAGCTAAATTTTGCATCAATTTAAGACTTTAACATACGATATGAGTAACATGCAGAACAGTACATAAGGTTTTTTTGAAGCATGCACATTATATTATATGCAAGTAATTAAGCACTTTACTATACTTTTTAAAGATGAAGGTTTAACCAAGTTATAATAAAATATACTAGGCCTAATAATAAGGTTTAATTAGCTAAAGTTGTGGTGATTTAATACTTATAGTAATGTTTTTGATTGACTAGTCTAACTATTATATTTATTTATATAGAAGATTATTTTTTTTCTTTTAGTCTAACTATATATCAGGCTATTGGATTAATAATCGTATAAAGCCAAGAGATTAGTTGTTGAATTTCATGAATCATGAATATATAAGAAAAAAGTTATAATAAAATATATATGATGTAGAAACTGTAGTAGATATGTATGTATATACATATATAGTTCTTTAATTTGCTTGGTTCATATATATACACCTAATACCTAACTATCATAGGTAAAAGTTATAATAAAATATAAATTCATATTTTTTATTATTTATAAGTTCAAAGTTAAAGTTACTACTTAAAATAAACAAATAATGTTTTATTAATTAAATTAAGTTAAATGTTTTGACGTTTAAAACAAACGATCCTTTATATTTATTTTGAAGTTCCCTTTAATTAATAGTCCTTTTAGTTAAGTGATGTCTAGTGTCTCTACAAAACCCTTTGGGCTCCCATTTTCCATTGTGAGGTCCAAGCTATCAGGCCCGTTTAACTTTACTGCACTCAGACCACAAACAAGACTATTTAAAAGTAGAGGTAAAAAAATCAAACTCAACTCATTCAATCCGTTTAAGTTTGAGTGGGTTATTGACCGGCTCATTCATTAGCTCAACTCATTTCAATTTATTAAAAATATGTAATCCGAATCGGCTTATGAGAAATCTGGTTGAAATATTTTCTAAAAACTTTTTTTTTTCAATTTGATATGTTATATATAGTCATTGTAAAGAGAAAAATAATTGTATTATTCATTAGCTCAACTCATTCCAATTTATTAAAAATATGTAATCCGAATCGGCTTATGAGAAATCTGGTCGAAATATTTTTTTAAAACTTTTTTTTTTTCAATTTGATATGTTATATATAGTCATTGTAAAGAGAAAAATAATTATATTAGGTACTAAAATAGTTTAATAAAACAATTAAGCTTAGTATAAATTGGGTTGGGTCTTAACCCATTATATAATCCATTACCTCACACGTTTTGACCCAAGCAAATTTGGGTTGGGTTGGGTTGGATCGGGTCTTGACCCGATTAATATCTTAACCCATTATGACCCGCCCAAATTTGACCCAACCCTCCCAATTGCCACTCTTAGTTAAGAGGTACACAAATAATCCATTAGATTCTTTGTTTACATTTTCTGGCCGATATGCGTAAATTAAACATGGTTACAAACATGGAAAAATAAATGCACAACTTATTTTACCATATTCTCTAAAATTTCCTATCATTTGAAAAAAAATTATGAAAATCTTTATTTTCCTCACTCTTACGCAATGTATCGGGACAGGTGTGTCTTGCATCAACAAAGGTAATGTACCAGATGTTGAGCGATCTATCAGGATGGGTGTGTTTTGTATCAGCAAAGGTAATTTATTAGGACGCGATGTATCGGAACGTTGATTGATTTATCTAAAATCCTTAAATTTTATGGTATTTTTGTTATTTAAAAAAGAATAGAAATATGATGTAATTAACTTTTAACACTATAAAATTTGTGTAATTTTTTCTTATAATAAATATGGGCAATCTATTTAGGTTAACTCTTCTATTTATTTTTAAAAATAAAAAATAAAATTCTAGTTGTTGCTGGCTATTATTTTGGTGACTGCTAAACAAACAGTTATAATTTTCCCAAATATAAATGTGATATTTATATTGAAAATTTTATAAATGACATTTATAAGACTAATAATTTCAAGTTATACAAGTATACTGGTTCTTTCAGGTTGTAACAATAAATAATATCAGGTTCTAACAATTTATAAAAAAAAGTTTTTTAAGTAATTGTAAAAAATCAGTTTTGAAAAAAATAAAAAATAAAAAAGGATAAAAAAATCAATTTTGAAAAAAATAAAAAGATAAAAAACTGATAAAGGTGTATTAATTAATTTTGAATTCATTGATGATAATTGTTAATTGGCATAAATTTAGGAGATTCAAACAAATTAGGAATATTTATTTTCCTTATTTCACTCAAATCTGTTTTTAAAAAATCGATTTTATTCATTTTGTTCAAACACTTCTCTCTTTGTTTTTTTTTCTTCAGAATTTGGCGTCACTCACGAGTAGATCCAAATTCTTTTGGTTGAATAATCTTCATTTTGTTGTAATGGATGGCTTCTTATCTATATTAATTAAACGTGGTGGTAGATGGGATCCTTCTGGTTAGTATTCTTTACGATTTATTGTTTGTATTTGTATATTACTGAAACGTAAAAAAAAAACAATGATACTGTAAATGACATTTTCTTATTTTATTTATGTATACTAGATTTAAGTTGTGATGTTTTTTGTATGAACATTAGTTTTTTCATAATACGTAATTATTTTTGTGAAACTGGAGTTAATATTGGTACGATTGTGTTTGTTATTTATTTTTTTTGGTTATTTTGTATATTTTGGTTATACCATGTATTTGTGCGATATTGGTTTAATATCTGAATGATTTGAGTATAACTGTATGAAATATTAATAGTGTTAGCGTTATAAAGTTATGAAATTTGTGACAAAAAAATGTATGAAATGTGTTTAATGGTATGAAATGTATTGTAACATTGTTATGAAACTGGTATTTTTTTAGTCAATTTGATAATAATAATAATGAGATATTTTTGGTATGTAGTTTAAAATTATAATATGAATACTATTTTTTTCTTCTGAAAATATAAATAAAATGTATAGGTTCGAATGAATTTGATAGTGTATTTGGCATGATATTTGTATGAATAATTATTCACTATTGTGTAAAAAATATGAGTAAGAATTAAGAAGTATGATGATTTGTATGAAATTTGAATTAGGTTGGTATGAAATTTGAATATAAATACAACACATGTAATTGCGGACGATTTCAAAATGATGAGATACCATGCGGTCATGAAATGGCAGTTCTCAGATACAGAAGACTACATGAAACAGATTATTGCTCTCCTTTTTATAGCTTGAAAATTTTCGAAGATGCATATGTGATCCCTGTTGAACCTCTCCCATGCAAGAGTACATGAGATATACCAGATTATGTTTCTGAGCCAAAATTGATGTCTCCTGGTTCAAAGAGAACTCTAGGAAGACCGCAACTTGAACGCTGGAAGAGGTTCACTGATGTGAAATTAAAAAGGTCTAAAGTTACTTGCAGTAGATGTCGTCAAGTGGGCCACAATAATAAGAAATGTTCAAATTACCCTGCGCCAAAAAAAATGATAGTTTATTTGTTTAAACTATACAAAAATTTCATTTTATTTTGTCTTTTAGACTCATGTTTGTTTTGATTGAACATTATACAAGGTAATTATGGTATGCATTTAGTATCCATTTGGTATGCAACTGAATATCCACTAATATTATTTAATGTAATTTACCATGAGTATTAATTAGGTATCCAACTGGTGTCCTACTCTAAACCAAAATAAAACAAGATGTAATTTATGTTGGTGCAAAATTTAATAATCGTTGTTTTAAATTGTTAGATTCATTTCTTCTAGTATTTATACAAATTGTATACCAACTTCATACATCTTTAAAATACTTATTTCACGCTTGTTAAGACAATATAATTTACAATTAGTATTAATTTGGTATCCATAAGGTGTCTAACTTGAATAAATATAAAACAAGATGTAATTGAGGTTGTTACAAAATACAATGATCACCATTTTACATTGGCATTATCATTTCTTCAAGATATTTATATAGATTGTCTACCAACTTCATACATCTTTAAAATACTTAATTCACACTTGTTAAGACAATATAATTTACAATTAGTATTGATTTGGTATCCATAAGGTGTCCAACTTGAATAAATATAAAACAAGATGTAATTGAGGTTGTTACAAAAGATAATGATCACTATTTTACATTGGCATAATCATTTCTTCAAGGTATTTATACAGGTTGGATATCAACTTGATTCCATTTTATTTTTTTTGTGTTAGAATATGAAGTAAAAAATATCAATCATGTATGAATTTAGATGCCAAAAGTATACAGTTTGGATACCAATTATAAGATAGTTAGTTCATGAACTCTAAATTAGTGTTCGTTTTGTTTCAGTTAATAAGACACTAGTAGTTCATGAACTCTAAATGTTGAATCTAATTGGTATGCAGTCTGTATATAACTAGTATCCTGAAATTATAATAGTCAATATGTAATTCATATGTAGTTGGTATCTGACTAGAAGATAACAGTGGATTTTATATATCATAAAATACTTAAAACTGTATTAAACACAAAATATTGTCCAAAAGTTTTTAAAAAAATGTAATTCTAAAAAATCTAAGTTGCAATCAACCATGCGAGGTCCACCAAATTTGCTAGCAACAGTTTCAGTTACTTCACTCTCATTGATTGCATCATCATCGTTCTTT